CCCCCCCCTCTGTGTGAAGTTCGAAGTCAACTGAAGGTCTAATGATAACTATCATAAAGCCTGCTAATGGATATAAATAAATATAACAGGGGTATGAAGATATAAATGCCCAGATTCCTGGTTACAAAATTTTGGGCGTTAACAACTGGAAGTTGCCAGATAGTTAGCAGGAAGCATGCAAAATATTTTTGAGAAAAAAATGGCGTGGGTTTTTTGGAGAAGATAATTAAAACTCATTAATTAAAATTCGTAATTTTAGAATTTTATTTTCTTCTGTTAATTGTGATTTGTATGTGCGGAGTGGTGTTTTATTGTAAGTTTATATGTCTGATCAAAATTTAGGAGATAAATTAAAAGGCAATTTCTTTTACAAAATTCTGTTTTGGCACGAGGAATCTCTTTTCATCTAAGAGGCCAGAAATGCTGAATCTTAATTAGTTCCATTGGTTAATTAAGTCCAAGTTTGGCAAAATTAGATGCAAATACGGCCGAATTAATTAAGACAAATAAATATCAATATACACTAGAAATATGGTACAGCATTCCTCCCAGACCCCCAACCCCTTATATTCCTCATAGATTTTAATGCTCCTATTCGCATTGTTATGTGAAAAATGTTTACCAATATGCTTTGCTAAAATACAAAAATACACATTTTTAATGTAAAATAATGGCTTGAAACGCACCTTTTCAGGTTCGTAAACACATATATGCCAACCAAATTTGAAATTACGAACTCTTGAATGGCAGAAAGCAGAGGATACGATCCGCAATTCCGTTTCTTGAAGGGAAGGAGAGGGAACTGAAGGCAATCGATTCAACAATCCCCAGCCCACAGTCATACACTTTGTACCCCCTTCAAGAAGCCAATTCGGTGGAGGCAGGCATACTGGTTGTATTGCGCGAGCTTTGAAATAAAACGAAAAAGAAAAGAAAACATTAAATTAAATTTAGCCCAGAAGTAATGGTAGTTTTCTCACCCTTCGTTCTAATTTTATGTCGACTTTTTCCAGACGCGTGAATTGTTTGTGGATTTTTACTGCTAACCCTGAGTGCTTGGCCCCTCCAATTTATCACCTTTCCGATAAAGGGATTTTGAATTGTTTCTGTTATTTTATAATAAAATATACACCCATCGGGCTTCTCCTTTTTCGTGCATTTGTAATGTCTATACTTTACAAATATATCTATGGACTTCAGTAACTTGAAGTAATCATTTTCTTCATATAACACTTCACTTAATTTATTATTTGCGATACGCTCAATTAAAAAAACAAGGGAATATACAGTAGGGAAGGTTTCTAAAGCATCAGGTTTTTAATGAGAAAAATAGAAATAGTTAATTTTATTAACTGTTTTTGCCTTGCTAGCAATAGCTATTGGAGATTATATATATATATATATATATATATATGGGATAGAATTATGGAATTATTAATTAAATCCGTAAATAAAGAGCACTGACCACCAAGAAAAGCCCATTTTAAGCGCGTTTTAAAATTTATCGCACCGTTAAAGATCATCCAATCAACAACTTATTACATTATTATACTTCTCCACCAAAATTCATGATCATATTTTGAGGTGGGGTGCGCAATAGACTTACCTCCACGTGGTGCACCCTGGGCAACGTAGACTCATACGGCAAAAACGTCTATTAACTGTCAGTTGACTTCTCACTTCAAACAACCATGGTAAGCGGCAGTTGACTTCTCACTTCAAACTACCATCACCCGCACTGGCAGTTGACTTCTCACTTCAAACTACCATCACCCCTCACTGGCAGTTGCTTTCTGACTTCAAACTACCATCACCCCACCGTAAACCGGCAGTTGACTTCTGACTTCAAACTACTATGGTCCGACTATAGTTGACTTCTCACTTCAAACAACCATGGCCCAACTGTATGTCATATTCGACTACTTCCACAGTACTCACCTCATCTTTCATCTACCTTTGTACTGTCTCTTTTACATCTTTGAAACACTCTTCTGTTCCCCCCCCTGTCTCTTACATCTTTGAAACACTCTTCTGTTCCCCCCTGACATCTTTGAAACACTCTTCTGTTCCCCCCTCTCGACTTTGATCTTTGAAACACTCTTCTGTTCCCCCCTCTCGACTTTTTCTCTCGACTTTTTTCAATTTGATGTTTCTTCCCCTCTGTGAAGCCTGAAGTCGGCTAAAGGGCTAATGATAACCACCAAGACGCCTGCCATTTGACACGAATAAATAAATATTTTGAGGTTGGCATGTTGACAACAACCGAATATATAGATAAAAACATGTAAAAAATGACGGTTTCAAAATAAATATCCCTTCAATTTCTCTTACCATGCATACCGTTTTTTCATGAATATTTTCCTGCTTAAAAAACCAAAATCTATTAAGGATAATAATTTCAGATCCAACAGAGGAAGTCATGACCTCATTGAGCAACCTGTTCCTCATGCCTGAATTGAGCTTATCGAAAGTTGCTTGATGTGTTAAAATAATCCTTGACTGCACTCGTTAGTTGTATTTTTTTAATTAAGAGCCAATCACAATTAAGCCATATATTAAATGTTTATACTAATATAAACAGGCTATCGCCTTAATAAAAATAACATTAACAGATATATGTGCGGTGCGCGGTAAACTTATCTCTACATGGTCCACCCAGGGCAACGTATACTCATATGGTAAAAGTAGTCGGTAAATCGTCAATTGACTTCTGACTTCAAACTACCATGACAACACTCTATGCCATATTTGGCCACTTTCACAGTACTCACCTCACCTTTTTCTCTACCTTTTGTCCACCTTTTTACACATGTGGATCCCTCTTCTACTTCCCCTCTCCTCGGCTCTTTGTGTCTCTGAAGTCCAAAATCAACTAAAGGGCTAATGATAGTTATCATAAAACCTGCCATTTGATTTAACTAAATAAACATCAGCAATAAAAACGAACTAACGTAATTTCCCCTAATCCCCTGGAGTTTGCATGAAAGTGGCAAATGTACATTAATTAATATAATTTATCGTACTAGTTATTTTTAAATAATCTGCAAATTTGCCTAGAACTTACTAAAATTCAGAGGTCGTTCAAGTTCAAGAATAGCTAAACCTCCATTTAAAACATATCGATTGGATCTGCTGATCATAAATCTCCGGATGTAAATATCAAGTTGGGGTTCAAATGGCCAGTCATTGCGATGGTGATCACCAAATCGCAGGAAGAGCTTTTTATGCGCCGTTTCGTTGATCGGATACCATTGTTTTTTCATCAACACTTTGCCATAATTTTCGCCTAGGAGACAGTGAGTTGCTGTAATGGCGTGCTTTTGAGAAATTAAAGTGGCCCCGCAAATTATCTTCGAGTAGGTTCTCCTTTGAACAGGGACATCGAGATCCCGTCTAAGAGGAACCGATTCGTACAAACCTGCCTTTAAAAATTAAAATCACAAGCACAATTACACCAAGTGGTAGTTTATATCAGGCCTATAGTGCTTAAAGCTAAAACTAACCATCCAAGGCCACGAATGTGGCATTGCCTCGATACCACCGTAAATTTTATTGATGATCGGCTTGCGCTGGTAAGTTCTTCGTGTTCCGCAGATTTTGCAGTGTTTGTGTATCTCTGGAGACATATCTTGAGGGAAAGATTCAAGCAGTTTTAGTCCACCCGTTTTTTAATTAACGAATATGCACTATCTTTCTTAAATGAATTATATAGGCGCGGATAACGAAGTATATAAAATAGGGAAAAAAGGTACCTAGAATGCAACATGAAAATGAAATGTCTTAAACATGATTTCCACTTGCCCATTTTCCTATATTCTTCATCTAACGTGTCTTTGCGGTAGAGGCAATGTGGGTTCTGGGCGTCCTTCACTTCGCAGAACTGATCGAAGTATTCACCGCACGACACATTATTCTGCGGTTCACTGCTTGATGCCTCTTGCGATGAGGCTGTTGTTGTTTCCATGGGGGTGGCAACAATGTCCCCGACACCAAGAGAAACAAGGGCAATAAGTAGGAGTGTAGGCCTATTCAAGAGCATCGTTCTGGCTTTGCTAGGTGTTCTGCCTACATTTGACTCCCTTTAAATAACAATATGTATCCAATTGGTTGTTTCAATAAATCAAACGCAAATAAAGCTGCTTTCTTTTCTAGGCAATGAGTTCAGTCAGCGGGGCGTTTTGAGAAATATTTTGTTTGTATTTAATGTCCAAGATGTTCAGTGATTATAGACCGGTTTATTAATATTTTAGTAGGTGATATCTCCATAATCCAACTCATGTTAAAAAAACTGACGATTGAAATTAAAGCCAACTTTGTGTCCTATATATCGGGAGAGCAAAACGTCGCTTTCTTTAATTGAGCAAGAACACTAAACAAAGGGAATTAGCACTAGGAGGCCATTTCAAAAATTTTTAGCCTATTGCGATATCAAAAAAGGATCGTGCCCCNGCCCCCCCCCCCCCCCCACCACCCCACCCCACCCCACCCCACATATGAGGGAATGCCACTGCTCAAACGCCATTAAATTTTCATGGTGGGAAAGGTTAAGGTGAACTATTTATGAGGCGAAAAATTATAAAATCTAAATCCCGTGGAAAATGAGGTAATTAAGGGGCACGCACATTAGTCGATTAAGGTTGAATTCTCAGCACACACCTGATCAAACAGCCTACTTGCAACCGATCGTCTCTTCTGAAACAGTATTGATAATTGCCTTAATGTAGGCTTCCTTTCGCGTTGATTTCTACTTTTACGTCTCATTTAATAAACGTACATGCGAAAATTTATTTCTGTAAAAATCAAGTTAACGGCGCCTTCAGCCGTTTAAGGAGAAATGTGTTTGGCGCCAACGATTACAACTAACATGTAATTGAAGTTGTAAGCATTTCAAAATACCTTACAAAATATGCTTGCCATTATGATAACCAAACAAATCACATTCTTTTAAACTAGGACAAACAAATATGGATAGTAGTTTTCTTCTTTAAATTCTAATTAATATTTTCAAAATTAAATGGCCTTCAATCCCATTATTCACACTAAAGCAATCATTAAAAGTGACTAAGAAAATCAATAAGAATAAAGTGAGTTAGCCTGTCAGGTTTGTTTTTAGAAAATTGGATACTTCATAGGTATGTTTTAAGTGAGGGGTGTGCGATAGACTTACCTCCACGTGGTGCACCCTGAGCAACGTATACTCATACGCAAAAAGGTCTATTAACTGGCAGTTGACTTCTCACTTCAAACTACCATCACCTCACTTTATGTCATTTTCTACCTTTGCGTCCGTCTCTTTTACATCTCTGAAACACTGTTCTGTTCCCCCCCAACCAACTCGACTTTTTCACTTTGATGTTCCTCCTCCCTTCTGTGAAGCCTGAAGTCAACTAAAGGTCTAATGATAACTGTCAAAACG